CTAGTACATACACATAACCAAACATTTCCTCCTCTGTGTGTTCTTTTGTACTTCATATACAGTAAGCTGCCTGCATTATAGGTTCAACAGATAGTCAGGTTAAAATCGATACAATAGTCATTAACTTAAAACAATAATTACAATAGTCATTAACTTAAAACAATGTGCATGTAGCCTACATCACACCGCCAATCACAACAATTCATAACTTTCTCACTGGAGACAGTATATAGGCTAGCACTCTTGGCTACTTAAATCAATCTACCTGTGATTGTAAAAAGTATAAGAAAAGAGATTTGCAGCTTAATTGTGTTTTAACCATATTAACTTAACTAAAGTTTAGCAATAACATTTAGCAATTAAGGTCCTGTCTTCAGGATGAAATGTGATAGAATTTGTTAGAAAGTCTCTCAGAATTACATTTCCCTCCATGACTGGGGCTGTTATAGTATATGTCACTTTCTTTACATGTTGGGCTGAAAATATCAAGCGAAGTGAATTAAATTACTGTTCAGGATAGATACTGCGACACAAGCTATAAATACGCAAATGAATCAGGATGTCGAATGAATTTTTTTACCTGTTTCTTGAGCTCAATGCTAGCTCAAATGGAAGAGCTATACTGAGGGAAAGTATAAAAGTGAAAATAGGTTATTTTGCTTTTTCTTTCTTAGGGGTCTCTCCACAGTAAATTTTGTTCCCTTGATTTAATTAAACATTTGCACAGAAAGTAAACTGCGATATAAGCCTTAAAAGCGTGCCTATAAACGTTGCGACTTCACCGTTCATAAAAATTGTTGCGCCACCTTTTCACAACCCGCACACCCGATTACCTATATATACATGAACTTACGGTTACAGCTCAACAGCTGGTTTCTGTAGCTCAGTTAGTTAGAGCGCTGCACCGGAATCAATTCCTACCATACAGATGACCTTGTGCTGCATTTTTCGCAGTCGTTCCTGGTTAGGTCTTAAAATATATATATACTCACCTGGATTACAAACCCTAACATTCTAATATTAATTCCACCAAGTGAAATGCAAGAATCCAAATCATTGAAGTCCACCTTATCACAACCCGCATACCTGATTACCTATATATACATGAACTTACGGTTACAGGTCAACAGCTGGCTTCTGTAGCCCAGTTGGTTAGAGCGCTGCACCGGAATCGCAAGGCCGTAGGTTCAATTCCTACCAGAGGACCTTGTCGTTCCTGGTTAGTTCTTAAAATGTATATATACTCACTTGGATTACAAACCCTAACATTCTAATATTAATTCCACCAAGTGAAGTGCAAGAATCCAAATCATTGAAGTGCGCCATATAGACAATTTATATGGGTCACGTGACCACAACTTCGATGCTGGAGTAATTTGCATAGCAATCGAGCACCGTGGTGAGTCTATTGGGTTGTGGGTAACCTTTGAGGGCGAGCGCAACCTTTGAGAGCACTCTATCCACTTGAAACGTAAACCAGCAATTTCATTGAGAATTTTTTTTCAAACCTTCGTTTGTGAGTTTGCTGTAGTCAACAATGATGATGAAGGAGTTTGTATACATATATACATTATATTACATGGCAATACAAAAACAAGTATACCCCAAATTTCTCATTAGCCTGGAAGGTTCTTTTGCTGAAGCTGCTGTTGTTGCAGTATCAATTCTGTGAGTATGACCAGCAAAACTTTGAGGCACTGAGCCCTGCCTAAGTACGGGACTTTTCCTGTTTCTAGTGGTAGTGCATGAATTGTAAGTGGTTTACCTTCGCCATTTATAAGTACAGGTTCTGTTGATTTTGTTTTTCTCAATGCTAAGTATTGTTTCGTAACCAATATTGACACTGGGTTGTGTTTGTGCCTTGGATGTGTCATTTGTGTCGAATGTAATTAAATGCTTTATTATGCACTCACGCGCGTTTAATTAACCAATCAGTAATCGTTGAGAGGGTCACGTGCCGATCCAGTATTTACGATATTGGACAGGAACCTATTCGAAAGTTGCGAATCGTGGCTTTTTTCATGGTTTTTCAACCCTTTTCAGATGTTTTGTTATTTTCAAACATACGAAAGCGATATGGCAGAATAATGAAAAGAATTTGGGACATTAATACAGTGTTTTCTACCAGTTTTGTTTAAAATTATTAAAGCCCGGGAACTTCTCTTCGCGAAATTCTTTTGTTTTCGTTAAAATTAGGTCACATTTTATTAAACATACATGGAATTGAGTTTATTTATGCGCACATATTTGTAAAAACAAGATTCTGTTCCGAAATATCACATACTCGAACCGACCTGACCGCGTAGCTCAGTTGGCAGAACATTGGGCTAGTATTCCAAAGGTCGTAGGTTCGATTCCCACCGTGGCCAGGCATATTTTTCAAGCCCGGTGTGGATATATACACTCAGAGTAACATCACAAAAGTTATATTCACCTGAGTACATAACACCAACACAGAAAAAATCAAGTTTATTAACTTTTTGTTTAGTTATTTAAGCAAATTGGCCGCCGATATATGTAGTATTAATGTTGTCGCTGTATTATTCTCGCTGTATTACTTTATCGCTTATTGACAATTTTTTGTTATAGAATTGTTTTGTTCGATATAATAAAACTCTTATTGGATTCATCTTCGCCCAATATGGCAAAATATTAAGTCTCGACTTCAATATTAGGCTCGACCTTCGGTCTCGCCCAATATTGAAGTCTCGACCTAATATTTTGCCATATTGGATTCAAAAGAATCCAGTAAGATATAATATATAGTATGGCAATTAGAGGGAAAAATAAAGTTCGATATAAATGTCGGGTGGTTGAACAAACTCGAAAAGTGTTATTCTGTCACCAGTATAATCTGGAATGGTCTGTGCCAGTGTAGTTAGTACCAATAATAACAAGCATTCGTTGGTAGGGATGCACTACCTGAAACATAGAAAGCGAAATTCAACGTTTCGAGCGAAGGCCCTTCCCGTTAAAGGTCTTTGCTCGAAACGGAAGTTGGTAGCTTCCCGACGAAGGCATCCAAGAACAAGAGCGGTATTATTTAGGCACCACCAAAACAATTTCTTGTAAGAATCATAAAACTGTGACTTTGACCGTAGAAAGCGAAACAGGTGATAAAGCATGTACGTTCCATTTCCTATGGACATTGCGCCAGAGTGTAATGTATTACCATTGAAAATTTACCAAATGGGTGTCAAGGAGCACAAAGACCTGGATGAAACAAAACGTTCAGTCCTTGTATACGAACAACCCATTCTGCGTAGAGTCATATTGTCTGTCAGCCGGGCAGGTTAGACACACAAAATTGTTGTAGACGTGTTAAACAGTGAAGGATATAAGCCAATATACTCTGCAAGCAAACGATGGGTTACATAATCGGATACAAATTATTGACTCGGATATAACACCGTGGGTAGGTATACTTAAGGCAGAAGTTGAACCACTGTTAGAAAAGTTTCGGGATGTATTTGAACGAATTGGGAAGTTAGAAGGACACTACACTATTGACTGATCCCTCTGTTAGACCCGTGTTCCCACCTCGCCGTGTACCTGTTGCACCGGGAGAAACTTGACCAGATGGTGAAAGACGACATTGTTACAAGAGTAGACAAACCTATCCATTGGGTATCAGGCATGCTTGCATAAACCAGTGTCTGGAGCAGACAAAAAAAGACCCAAATCCGTATCTGACTTGACCCGAAGGATCTAAATAATGCAATGAAACGGAAATATTTTCCTATGACAACCATAGAGGAAATTGTAATGCGATTTAATGCTGCCAGAAGTTTGGCAGCGAAGGATGAAGGAGCATGTCGAAGGATTGAAAGGTGTTGAAGTGATCGCAGGTTATTTCGTTTTTACCATGTCCGAGCCTGTCTAACCCGCTGTCGAGAGACGAATCTGAAGTTGCTTAATTAAGGAGAAGGCCCAGTTAAGGAAATCAGAAGTTTCATTCATTGGTTCCCTGAAGGACCTAAGCCAGATACCAACAAAATGGACGCAATCAAAGGACTGCTGCATCCTACAGACACCCCGTATTTGCGTAGATTCCTGGGTATGGTGACCTACTTGGCTAAGTTTCTACCAGGCCTCGCTGATGAAACCGAAGTCTTAAAAAAGGGGATGCCGTGATGCCTTACAGAGAAGGATGCCGAGTGGTATTGGTTACCTGCACATGAAGATGCCATGACTCGCATCCAGAAAGTGATTACGACTGCGCCAGTGTTAAGCCGGTTTTCCACTTCGCCCGTATCGTAGCGAAACGTACTGGTGAGCATGCGCAGACTGAAAAGAGGTTTATAAATCCACGTACTTCCGGGTGTATTCGCGTATCAAAATAAAAAGTTCGTCGCAAGTCAACTTTTTGGCGTACTACGGAAGTACTAACCAATATTGATTCACGAAATTTTGAAATTTAAAAACGTTTGTGATACGTTTCGGTACGGTACGCTTGAAGTGGAGAACCGGCTTTAAGAGGCTGTCTCTCTAAGAACCGACCAATGACTCTCGGCTCATAAAATGAAATTCTTCGTTACTTTCACAATGAAATGTATTTACCCCAAGAACAAACAAACACTATTTGGAATTTTGAAAT